CAATGAATAGATCTAGTCACAGACTGGATATTGGAATGTAATTAAAGCTAGTGGTATCTCACCACTGGTTGAGGTGTTACTAAAGATGGAAAACAGTGCATCCTCCTCAAATACATCTTGTGTAATTGGCTCAATGGAATCTGGTGTGACAATGTGGCAACTTGCATGTTTCTAGAAATGGGAACCGCCCCAGCTTCTTTAGTCTATCCAAGGAACTGAAATTCCTCATCATTGGAATTATTCCATTGATGTTTCTCTGTAAACTCTTCAAAATCTACAAGTACAGTATTTCCTACAGTGATGTGCCCAGATTTAGACACAGCATTCCAGCTGGTGACAAACTGGTGTGTAATGTAAGTTAGGATAACTTCTTGGTGTTTTTACTCCACTTATTTACAAAGTCTGATGGCTGTTCTGCAAGTCCCAACTTTACAAATTGGTAAGCGTTTCTATTCTACTGTTGAAACTTTTTGATAAGGTTTCACTAATGCGTGCAGGAAATTAACAGCTAACCATTCTGGTAATAACCTCCCAGCTACTGAAGCTACCTAATGTTGTCATAAACTCATTCTCCAATCTACTAACACAATGATGTAGATTACCTGACTTTAGAGTTTAGAAAATCAAGAAATTCAGCATTGAGAAGTTCACAACTATATGACTGCACTGAACAGCTATAGCCAAATGAAAAAAAATTGATTGCAACTCTAAATCTTTGACTTTACTTTTGTTGAGTAGCATTGTTCTAAAAGACTATAGGCTTGCTCTTTCATTAGAGAGGAGAGAGAGAGACATGACTAGTGTGGCTTAATTGAGGGTCACCATGTCTCAGGTAAGGGGAGACCTTGATGATAGCCTGAGCTGATGCATGAATCGAAACCAAGCATCGCTCTGCATCACAAACAAAGCGTCTAACCAACTGAGCTAACTGATGCCCCCCCCCCCCCCCATGTTAATCAACAAATGCATATAGCATTACTCATTAGCTTCTGGATTGTCACCACTGCAAGCATTACTGTATTTTAATATCCAGGCAAAAAATTATTAGACTTAGAATCCTATAACTTGAAAAATAACAGCTTGTTAATTATAACGAAATGAGTCACTTGTTTTAATTGGTTAAGCTTGTAATATTGAGAGTTTAGAATTTTTTCACTTTAAAGAGACAAACAATCAACTTGCAACTACACGAAAACACATACATAAATGTAACTATGATTGATGAAACTAGTTCCTTCCTTTCCCCTGCTAATTTAATGCAGATTTGCTAGGGGTCCTTGCTGTCTCCCTTGGTCTGATGTCACTCTCCCCTCACCTGGAATTTTGCTCTTTTGTCCAAGGCTGTAATGAGGCCTTAGTGAAACCCAAACCTTGGTGGCAGTAAACTGTTTAGTTACGTAATTGATAATACTGTAGAAAAGGTTAGTTTAGGACAACTACATCACAAATTCATACATCAAACTGGCAGCTGAAGGAGTCCAGTTTTATTTTCAATGAGTACTGCACCTACATCTTTTAAGATCCAAACCAAAACTGATGGCAAATTGTCTGTTTTACTTAACTGAAAGTATGCAGCTTTCCCTCCTTGTTCCTTCTTGGTAACTGCATCACCTCCAAGTCTCTACTTCTAAATATATTTGGGGAGGGAGGGAGAGAGAGAGAAAGATACATGGAGAAACAAAAATCAGTGTAGTCAAACTTGATTAATTGTTGTAATCATTTTTCACTGCCAACCTTTATGAACACAAAGCTACTATAAGACAATTTGCTATATTGAAATTAATCATGATTAACAAGGACCAATTTTTATTATGATCCCTTCAGTAGGTCTGAAGAGATGATGTCCTGACTTCACAATGATTCACAGTGTTATATGGGATAGAATTTAAGATCAAAACTGGGCATTCGTGAGGTCCTATGGACTATCAGCAACAGAACTGTATTTAACCACAATCTGTAACCTTAAGGCCTGGCATATTCTCCACTCTATCATTACCATCAAACTGGGTTCAATGAAGAGTGCAGGAGGGCATGCCAGGAGCAACACCAGCCATACCTGAAAATGAGGGGTTGACCTGGCGAAACTAACCCAACTTGCGTGACCATCAGTGGAAACAGCATAGAGAACTAAGTCATCCCACAACCAATGGATCAGATGTAATCTCTGCAGTCTTTCTACATCCTGTCATGAACTTTGATGGGCAAATAAATGACTAGCACGAGAGGAGACTCCACAAAGATCCCCATCATAAATGATAGGGGAAACCCAGTGTATCAGTGCAGAAGAAATGACTGATGCGCTCATATTTGTTTGCCTTAAGTGCTGACTTGATGATCTATCACACCCTACTCCTCAATATCACAGATACCAATCTTCAACTAATTCAAATCATTCCAACTGCTACCAAAAAATGCTGGAAGCAGTAGGTACATCCTGGCAATAGCACTGAAGACTTGTGCTCCAGAACTTGCTGTGCCCGAGCCCAGCCGGTTCAGTACAGCTACAACACTGGCATCCATGTGATGATGTAGATAATTGCCTGGGTCTGAACTGTCCACAAAAAGCAGGAGAAAGCCAAACTGCCATTTACCTTCCAACAGTCTACTCTTGAAATCAGTAAAATGATTTAAGGGTTATGAAGCAGCACTTGCTCAGCAATAACTTGCTCACTGATGCCCAGTTTCAGTTCTGCCACAGCCACCCAACTCCTGACTTCATGACAGCTTTGGTTCAAACGTGATTAAACCACATTCTAATCTTAAATATATTAGAGATACACCACCAGGGCGTCTCCCTCACAAGGTCAGACAGAACATTTCAAATGAAATTGGTTTCCTTTCTGAAATCAAAACATAAAAGGCATTCTCTAACAGTTTCAAGAAAAAAAAAAATTCTAAGCAACAAACTTGATATTTACAAAAATGTTCTTATCCACATCAGTTTTGGAATAAAGGTGAAGAAAACACAAACTCTAAAATGTACAAATCTAAGCATACTTCCCCTCAATTTGAAGTAGCGGCATCATGCTAGTCATGGGATACAGATTCCACAACAAGTGATACATCACAGTGCCAGAGTATAGTTTTAGCCATTTGTCCAAGGAGCCAAAAAAAAGGGAGTGCTTGAGCCAACTTCCACCCATCCTATAAACCTTGCAGAAAATGCAAGAACAAGGTGCATGCCCTCAGTTAGGGAAACTGCAAGACAGCACAATAAGCTAAGAAAGCTTTTTTTTTTCCCCCAAAACTCCCCTTTTGAAATACACGAACCTGGTTAAAAGTTCAGGATGTAAAACAATACACAAATAGCAGTGACAACAATGACATTTTGCATTTACAGTGTGCCTTTACAATAAAAACAAAACGTTATGTACCTTAATATGACATGGATATCACTGCACCTGTTAAGAAATAAAAAGAACTCACTTTCAAGGAAACACTTGTTTTCTGCTCAAAACTCTGACTCGGGAGTTTCCAGTTATTGTATGAAATGAGACTGCATTTAACACATTACATTGAGTAAGGAACTTCCCACACCAAACTTTCACCCAGGCAACTGAGAAAGTTCACCTCTTGAATCTTACAAATAGTTCACAACAGCTTTCAAACTATTCAAATCAATGCCAAGGATCATTCAATTGATTCTCTTAACACCATTATTTTCTTGGCATTGGTTGGTAACTTGAGTAGCTATTAAGGAATCTGAGATGATTTATGGGTTTTGGTAGATACAAAGCTGCAAAGTTATAAAAGTTAAAAGAATGTTGAACTTGACAACTAAATCATGTCAAAGGAAGTCATACTCAAAAAGCATTATGTTCTGTTCAGGCTACATCTTCATATTGTATCCAATTCTAGATCCTGAAATAAAAAGGAAACATTAAAGCCAAAGGGGCTAATCAGTGGCAAGTGGAATTCAATCTGGGTAATCGTGAGATGATGCACTTGGGCAGGACAAACAATGGAAGGGAATACATGGTGAATGGTAGACACTGGGAAGCACAGAGGTTTACATGTCCATTGCTTCATTAAGGTAGCAGAACAGGTAAAGTAGTTGAGGCAGCATATAGGATACTTGCCTTTATGAATCAACACATAGCATTTAAATTCAGCAGAGTGATGCTGGAACTTAAAATATTGGTTCGGCCACAGCTAAAGTATTGTGTGCAGTTCTGAAATCCACATTATAACAGGAATGTGATTGCCCTGGAGAGGGGGCAGAGGAGATTTACCAGAATATTGCTGGGCCAGAGAGTTTTAGTTATGAAGAGAGAGCGAAGAGACTGGGGTTGTTTTCTTTAAAGCAGAGAAAACTGAGGGGCATGAATCAGTTGTGTAGACATGAAGGAACTTTTCCTTTGGCAGAGGGATTAATGATGACGGTCTGGAAGTGCCAGTGTTGGACAAGGTCAAAAATCACTTGACACCAGGTTATAGTCCAACAGATTTATTTGAAGACACTAGATTTTGGCATGTTGCTCCTTCCTCAGGTGCAGTGAGAGAGAGAGAGGGAGAGAAGGTATCAAGACATAGAATTTATAAGTAAAAGATCAAAGGATCATACAATCGATGCAAATGTATTGAATAATCCGAAAATCGCTGGCTGACTCCCCACTGTTTAATCTTTAATCAGTTAGAAAGGAGATGCAGGTTTCGATTGATTAAAATGCAAATCCCAGAATTTCTTTCAAGTCACTGTCCCGAGATAACTAAAGGTTTTATCAATGTATACAAGACGTGAGATCTCAGGTCAGACGATGCATTTTAGGTGTGAGGTCTTGTTTAGAATCTATATTTTAACCTGGAGTCAGACTGGTTTTATTTCCGAAGCAGGAATTTACAAAATGCTCCATTGACTGACTGTCTACAAATTATGGCATTGTGTGGTGTGGTGTTGGGCATGAACTGAAGATTATTTCTGAATGGTTGATCATCTTCAGCTGTAAATACCTGGTGATGTTTTCATTAGCTATAGAATTCATATGCATCTCAAGAAATACTTTTGGTGAAAATATACTTTATTTAAATTTTATTAAATCTTACATAAAGCAGCAATCCTTTGCTGACAATTTCCTTCCACGTTCTGAATGTACAAGTCAGACAGTCAACAAAATGTTTACAGCCACTACAGTATATTCAAACTCCCAGTTCTGATGAAAGGTCATTGACCTGAAATATCAACACCACTTCTTTGTCCACAGATGCTTCCTGACAAGATAAGACTGTTCAGTAACTCCAATAAATCTTTACTCAAGTGGACAGACAATCTGAATAGACTGATGTCCTTTCCCTGGATTGCAACTGGGGAGCTCTTCCTGACTCATTTGAGATTCGGAAATTCCTCTATCGCTATCCAAAACATCTCCTAACTGCATGTCTGCAGGGCACAGCATGACTACCAAGGATATCTGGGCTAAGTATTTTGGGGTGGGGGTAGGGTTGGTGTGGAACAAAATGAAGGAAAGAGAATATTGAGCTAATGAGTAATGTGGGATTAGAAGGGCAGTAGCTTGGAAACTGGTCTGAATTTGTATGTAATCCACATTACAGGATGGAAGTCTATTCTGCTCCCTACCTGAGTCCAAGGAAACCCGGGATTGGTCAGTCTCAGTTTTAGTGAACGCTGCTCCGAGTAGTTATTATACACCAAGCTGTTCACAGGAAAGGAATGGAGAAACATCACATTGGTGAGGATGAAATGCATCATTGGACAGGGAAGAGACTTCATTTGTGGAACCAGTCATACTGTACTGGAGCCATGCTGTCAACATAATGAACTGAACAGGGAAGCAGTTTCATTCCTCATTGTGAGGAACACTATTCCTTTCATGGATATTAAACGGCCTGAATACCATCCAGTAATCCTGCCACTTCTCTAACATAACCCATATAATTCCAAAGAAACAGCCATCATGATCCAACAAAGCTCTGTAGGTAATTCATATTACAGAAGAATCTTAACACCAATTAGTTCTCTACTGGTAACTGAGATTGTTCCTGGTTAGTGTAGGAGTGCGCCGGCAGAAACCTTGAGCCAATGAGCTTTGTAGGTACCTTTCCCTTATTTCTTCAGGGCCAATATTAAAAACAAAGCTTGCAGCCCATCAGGCCAAACCCTGGATCAACAAATTCTTTTTATAGCACTCGAGGCTGCAGAGCGGTAACCCAGTTTTAGAACAAGAGTATCTCTTGAAGTTTGAACAGCCTCCTACCCCACAGGTTACAGGGATGGGCACAGGCTGAGAGACGGCTGGGAGGGGGGCTGGACATCCATGTGGAAAGGAGACAGTGATCCCTTCAGCGCTGTTGCAATATCTAATCATAGGATAGTGCATTCGTTTAGTTTTTCTCTCCCTCAGTGTTTTGACTTTGGCCTTGTTAGTTTTTGTCAGCCGTTCAATTGTTTGGTTTTTGTTGTCCTCTGCTTTCTTTGCAGCTTGCAGACGCCTTTTCCGAGCACGCTCAGCTCGCTTCACCATCATCTCCTCTGTCATCTCCTTCACTTTATAGCCCATGGGCAACTCCAGGAGGGGTTGGCTTTGCTGTTTATGTAGAAGGGCACGCTGCACAAACAAAAAGAAAATCTATTGAAGAACTTGAATCAACAGTTTAAGCATTTTTATGCCATGAGTTACCTGAGGTACACTTCCCAAAGGCAAATTTGAAACAGATTCAATAACAACTTTCAGGGACTGGATAAACGTTTGAAGAGGAAGTATTGAGAGATTGATGGGATTTTGAATACATTCATTAAAAATCGCCCCAATCTCCTCCAAGGAGAAGTACTCCAGCATCGTTCAAATAAAAAGGAGATCTATTGTTTGCGCTCAAAATCTGATTTCAAAACAGAATGCATCAGAAATACTCCCGACCTGTGAGGGAAGAACAAATGTTTGAGTCAAAAATGACTTCAGTGTTGAGGAACTGTCATTTTACTCAAACATCAACTCTGCTTCACTCTCTACAGATGCTGCCAGACCGGAGTATTACCAGCACATCGTTTTTATTTCAGCTTCTCTGCTCTCCCCAAATAAATAGCACAAAATGTCCTTTGTACTCTAAGGTCACAGTGTCCTTCCTAAAGTCAGCAAAATTGGACAGTGCTTCAAGGTGGGCCAATGCAGTGATTTACAAAAGTTTAAAGTTCCTTGCTTTTGTACTCTATGTACTCTTCTATGCTGTAACCATTGTTACAGTACACTGAAAATTAAAACTAAAGATTCAAAGTGCTTTAAAATCAGCCTTCTTTTTGTCCTATCAAGTTCAAATATTTGAACATATATCCTTCAAAATGTTAATTTTTGTTGTCTCTTCTCTTTCTTTCCAAATGCACTTCAAACTTGCTGCATTATTTCAGCTGCCATGTGTCTATTTCACCAGATTGTCTACTTCCTCCTAAAGCTTGTTACTAGCCTCCTGTGTTTTAAATTTTGCAGTTGGCAAAGAAAAAACAACGTTGTGCATTATGTTCAGGTTATTGATATTAAAAACATGAGGTATTTCTAATACAGACACCTTGGGGGATGCTACTGCTCATTTTCCTCCAATCTGAAGAATGACTTCACTACTAATTTATCCCTTAACCAATTTCTGTATCCACACTACCACTATCTCTAATTTTATAGACTTCAAATTTACTACCAAGTTTATTTTTTGAAATGCTGACACAGTTCATGTACATATCATCGTCTGCACTAACTTAATCGACACTTGGCTAATTCAGAGGTCAATCAAGTCAGTCAAATGTAATTTATATTTAACAAAGCCATAGCAGCTGCCACTTGTTAACACACATTTGAGACTCCACAGTGGCTGACTGAAACTGAACTATTATCACATTCATGAAAAGGAAGTTAAGCCATTAACCACCAAATCTAACTTTCTGTGGCAAGCTTAATGGAGCACGAACATGCACAATCGTGCAAGTTCTTAAAGATAACATTGAGACTAAGGACAAAATACCACCTGTGTGAAGCAAACAGTTGAACTGTGCAGACCAGCCAAAAGTTCTAGAAATACCTAACTTGTGGCATATCTCTTAATTCCCTCAAATTGCTGGCCAACGTATACATTAGTAACATGGTCCATCATTAACATGCTGTTATTTTTCCTGCAAGATGTGGCCCAACACTCACTTGCCTAGCTGTCAGCAGTGATTCATCAATCTCCTTCTTTAATTCTCCATTATCATCCAACTCTCCCTTCTCCAAAGCATCCAGCCATCGCTGCTCCTCATCCTGTTCTGGTTCCTGAAGGCTTTCTGAATCCAAGTCTGGTAAAGGAGATGGATCCAAGTTGCTCTCCTCATCTGCAAATGTTATAAATAATTCCGATCAAACTCAACTTTTTACTTTACTTATTCCAACCATGAACATATTAAGAAGGGGCTAAGGATAAAAGGAGAAGGTGCAGCAAGCTTTTTTGTTGATAAAAATTATTGTTTATGTCTTCCTCCTTAACTCTCTGTAACAGATGTGTTGTCACTGACATGAGGGGTCTAGAGAATTCTCTCAGATCTTTTATGGTCCTCCAGTTGAAATTATGTGATACAGCAACGATTAGTGATTCTAGAACAATGCCTCCCCCCACCCCGCCCAGGAATAGGAGGCAGAGAACCCACTTATGGGCAATAAGAAGCAGGTATGAATAAGGTTATGGAATTGGTGCAGGCCTGGTAGGCCAAAGGGCCTGTTCCGGTGTTGTATTGTACTGTATTATTCATTTGTTTAAAAAAAAATCAGCAATTTGTGAGGTGGACAAAGTAGTTCAAATTCTCCACACACCTTCAACAAATTTATCTTATTCAGCGAATTGTTAGAATGGAATAAACTACCCAAGATTCATTGGAGGTCTTGAGAATTAGAACATTAATTGAAGAGAAACGTTTGTAGAGCTACAGGGAAAAGGCAGGGTTATGGGACTAGCTGAGTTGGTCTTTGGGAGCCAACAAGGATGTAACAGGCTGAAGAGTTACCATAAAAGGAGCACAAAACAAGTCTGTTCTGACTGTATTAAATCACTAAGTTGCATCATTAATTTTGAAAAAAATAAAAAAAGAAATGCAAGTTTGTAGTGAGCATCCTTATTGAAATAAATTGCATGTCATGAAATTGCTGGCTTTACGCCATTAATGCAAATTAAACCCACTGCTGGTGGGTGGCTGATTAGTAATGGTGTGATTTATGGCCCTGGCAAGACACTCAATCGAAGAGCATCAGAAATTACAGCAAAGTTTTGAAGCCTCACTCAAGAAAATAGTAAAACTTGCCTATCATTTTTTAAAAAATGGTTTTCTCTGGCCTGGCGGCATTTTCTTCTAGTCTTGTCATTTACCCTCCATTCAAGTTGGAAAGCGGTCATTTCCAGAATGCAATGCTGTTTTGATTCTCAGAAATACAAAATTAGCTATTTATTTCAGAAAATAATTTTGAGACAGAATTAATTTGGAACATGGCACAGTGCAAATAAAGCAGAATTGGTATGTAAATAGCAAGTAAATGGGCTTCTAAAACTTTAAGTTTAATGTTGATATCACTATTTGTGCACCTTCTCTGCAGCTGTAACATTGTATTCCTCATGCTGGTCTATTACCCCAATGCACTTTGTACAATATGATCTGCATGCAAAACAAAAATTTTCACTGTACCTAGGTACATGATAAAAATCAAATCAAATCCAATCCAGTTAAGTGTGACACGCACTTTGATAGGATGAATGAGGAAATCATATTCCTTGGAAAATAAGTCTAAATGGGATACGGGTTCATTGGAATTTAGGAGTACAGATTCATAAGTCTTTACAAAAAGTAGCAAATAGCTTAAAAATACCATACAAATTATAAATAAAGGAGTGAAGATCATTGTAAGACAACAGAATTTGAAAACAGAGATCAGTGTGGAGCTGGAGGAACACAGCAGGCCAGGCAGCATGAGAGAAGCAGGAATGTTGAAGTTTCCGGTCGGGACCCTTCTTCAGAAACGTCAACTTTCCTGTTCCTCTGATGCTGCCTGGCCTGCCGTATTCATCCAGCTCTACACTTATCTCCGACTCCAGCATTGGCAGTTCTTACTATCTCAGAATTTGAAAACAGTCAAAGTTATATTAAAATTATATAACCTTGATGAGGCCACATTTACAGCATAGTGCACAATTCAGATTATTTTCTTGCCCCTTTTATCCAAAGGGAAGGGGAGGTTTCTTTCATAAGTTCACGACAAAGTTGCTGACCCGACAGTCTTTAAAGACCAACTACTGCTGACTCAAGGTTTCTTTGCAGCTCAACTAAGAAAATCCTGATAAAATCAGCCTTCAGAAAATGCAGAAAAATACTCCCACAGGTAAAACTGACCAACTGATATAATCCACCATACAGGAGAGCCATTGGCCTAATGGTATTGTTGCTAGACTATTAATCTAGAGATCCAGGTAATATCCTGGTGAGAGATAGTAGGAACTGCAGATGCTGGAGAATCTGAGCTAACAAGGTGTAGACCCTTCTTCAGAAAAATGTCAGCCTTCCTGCTCCTCTGATGCTGCTTGGCCTGCTGTGTTCATCCAGCTCTACACCTTGTTATCTCAGATTCTCCAGCATCTGCAGTTCCTACTATCTCTGAAACAATTTTAACCCGACTGCGAAGCCTCTTCTAAGGATGCCTACCGTTTTTCTGAAGAAGGGTCTAAACCCAAAACGTCAGCCTTCCTGCTCCTCTGATGCTGCTTGGCCTGCTGTGTTCACCCAGCTCTACACCTTTTTATATCTAATATCCTTTCAGTGAAGAAAACTGCTATCCTTACCTGGTCTGGCCTACACGTGACTCCAGACCTACAGCAACGTGGTTGACTTTTAACTTCCCTCTAGGTAATAAATACTGGTCTAGCCAGCAATGCCCATACCCCATAAGCAAACATTTAAAAAAGCCTAAGGCTGGTGAGGATTGCAGAAATATACAGGAGATTAAAGCACATTCCTTGATGTCTTTTCAGATCATTACAGTGCACAGACTTACCCAGCCATGCCCGATACTGGTCCAATGGCACTTCATCTGGTTCATCATCAACCATCAAAGGAGAGGGAGATTGCTTCAGCTCAGAAGCCAAAGAAAAGTGGGGCACACTGTGGCATGAAAAATAGTTAAGAATTACACGTGCAGTGGAAGTCAAGTTGAACACACTTATTATAAACAAAAAAAACTTGGTCAATCTGCTTCATTTCTTGGTCAATGAGGTCATCTGTGGTGTCTATTTGTGACTGTATCACTTAGCATACTTACTAACCAACAGAAGAGACAGAATACTGCAAATGAACCAGTCTATTCTAACATTACAATGGTACATTCCTCACTACCCTAGCCCATGGAATAATTGGATAATTGATTTAGAGTGGCATCCCACAATAAATTCTGGGATTTTTTTTTTTTAAAAAGCTTTGCTTAACTTTGTTTCGGGATACAGTTAATAAAGGGAAGGCCATGTTCATTATCTGTTGCCACCTGCTCTTTTAAAATGATTGCTATGGCAATTCAAGAAAAACAAAGTGGTTTGCTTAAGATGGTATTAAGAGTTAACTGAAATGAGTCTATGAATAAAGTGGCATTAGTTTAATCTAAGTTAGCAATTTTTGTAGTACAGCCCACAAATAGAATTCAATTTGCATGGAAAGGAATGTAACTCTTGACAGTTGGGCTGCTTGTCCATACCATAGCCACTGTCCTACCATGGAATTTTTGAAATTAATTTTACAGAGAACCCCAGAAATTGAGAAATTGACATTTTCCCTATGAGGACAAGCCATTTTCCTCTAAAATGACTCCTTACAAATATAGGAGCATTCCTTGATAGGGCATCATGGGGTCAAAAGGTGTTTAACTATTAAAAAGCAACGTGTAGTACGATCATGAAGATGTTACCTCTTTGTGCCCATAGTTTGACCACCCAGTTTGATTTTAAGTTTTAGCTGGGGTTTTCCAGTACCAGAGTCTGATTCCAAAGTTTCAGAGGAAAAGCCAAGCCCCACGTCCGCCTGGTGATGCTTCTTCTTGTGTTTCTTGTGTTTCTTGTGTTTCTTCTTGTGAGCACTGTGCCCGCCAGCTTCGTCTTCTGTAGACAAGCAAAGGAAGCCAGGTCAAATGGTGCCAAGGCAGCAGATTGAGTGACTAAACACCTAGCTCTCACCCAAAACTGCCTGCCACTCAAGCCGATAGTCAATACGGACTACAACAATACAAACTGCCCAAGAATAAACAAGACTGACAATGCCAACTCAGTTGTGCCTCTTATATGGCAAAATGCTCAACCTTAAAATGTTCTGGCTGTTAAATTAATTTACATTTGGTGCGCCTTCATGCACAGATTCATTGTTCTGAGGATGTACTGGTGTCATTTGGTACGATTATGCTTTCAGAAAAGAACTTGTGCTTCAATCAAGGGGTGGAGGTTAGATAGACCTTAGGTTTAGGGTAAAAGTTCGGCACAACGTCGTGGGCCGAAGGGCCTGTACTGTGTTGTACTGTTCTGTGTTCTAACCTGTTTGATGTTATGTCATACTCCTTATTTCTCATTGTTGCTACAACAAGCAACAGAACTATAAATCATACTTTGGTGTTCGAGAGTTCAAAATATCCTCCAGGCAAAGGCTTGGATAATAAACTGTAGTGCTGACTGTCCTGCGGCAGATGTGTCACATGCTCATTACACTTTACTGAACTTACAGTAAAAAGACTTTAAGGTTTTGGAGTAGAAAGACTTGCTTCATTAAAACCTGAAAACAAATTGTTAATGGTTTAGTTAAGCGTTCAAGCCATACAAACAGAAGGGGCTTGAGTTTAATCCCTGATTGGTGTTCAGTTAGATGCTCTTAGAATTGAAGCTAAGGCACTTGAATTGTTCTCATCACTTGAGAGTAGATTGGTTGTGGGAAGGTGGGGGTGGGGATGGGGTGCTGTAATTACAATAAAAAGACTATTGTTAGTTTAGCATTTTAGATGTTTTCACAAGTACTTCAGTGCAATTTACTCCCAAAAGTAGTTTCATCATCTGTTTAACAGGATACCTGCACTGCCCAAAACTAATCACTCAATAGTATAAACCAAGTATTAACAACAGTTATTCCACAGATCTGAAGCAGACACCTGCATCTTTTGCATAAACAATTTTTCGATTGCTTTTTCGATGAAGGGAGAAACATTTGCTAAAATGAGGCTAGCGACTAGTTGCTTTCTTATTTTCGACAACCAAGACCCACATTGAGATTTATTTAATTCTAACAACATCACAGGGTCATCTTACTTGAATCAAATTACACCCCACCATGGTGCACTGCTTCATGCTACTTCCAAGCCAGGCTGACTCTTGCCTCTTAGCTTTCTTTTTGGAAAGCTTATTAGCTATATCTCAGTTTCTTCCTACCTCTAACAACTAGAGATGAACAAGTGACTTCCCAACAAAATGGATACCTGATGCTTATTAATTACAAGAACAAACCAATTATGATGTTTGATCATTCCTTCCCACTGTACACCTTCCTTCTGCCCCAACTTGTCAACTCGCATGTCCCAAGGTTCCACCGTTTAGTTTCTCTCCTGTTCCTCATTTGCTTGATATCTGATGTTGAATTCATTTACAGGGTAATGACGATTTGCTCTTCTACCTCTTGCCTCCTTTATAGTATCCCGACACTCCACATCTACCTCTTTGCACCCTCTCCAAAGCCCTCATGTTCTTCCTGTAATGTGGTGGCCGGAACTGCACACAATACTGCAAATGTGGCCTAAATTTTTATACAGCTGCAATATGACTTGGCAACTTTTATACCCAATTCCTTGAGTGGAAGCCAGCATGCTGTTCACCTTCTTTACCACCTTATCCATCTGTTGCCACTTTCGGGAAGCGATAGACTTGCACCCCAAGATCTCTCTGTAAATCAATGCTTCTTAGGGTCCTGCCATTTACTATATGCTTTCCTCTTGTATTTGACCTCCCAAAATGCATCCCCTCACACTTGTCTGGATTAGGCTCCATCTGCCATTTTCTGCCCAACTTTCCAACTGATCTATATCCTGCTGTATCCTTTGCTAACTTTCCTTACTATCCACAAATACACCAATTTTCATGTCATCTGCAAATGTACTAATCAGACCTCCTACATTTTCATCCTTATTTACATATATCACAAACAGCAGAGGTCCCAGCATTTACACAGTGTGGAGCTGGAGGAACACAGCAGGCCAGGCAGCAGAAGAACAGGAATGTTGACGTTTTGGGTCGGAACCCTTCTTTAGGGCCAAAATGTCAACTTTCCTGCTCCTCTGATGCTGCCTGGCCTGCTGTGTTCCTCCATCTCCACACTTACCTCTGACTCCAGCATCTGCAGTTCTATCTCTGAGGTCCCAGTACTGATCCTTGCAGAACACTACTGTTCACAGACCTCCAGTCAGAAAATCACATCTCCACAACTACCCTCTGTTTATGACCAAGCCAATTTCGTATCCAACTTACCAACTGACCATGGATCCTACGTGACTTAATCTTCTGGACCAGCTTACTGAGGGACCTGGTCAAATGTTTTAGTAAAATCCATGTAGACAACATCCACTGCCCCATTCTCAATCATTTTTCTCACCTCCTCATAAAGCTCAATCAAATTTGAGAGTCAAGACTTGTCCTGCACAAAGCCGTGCTGACTATCCCTAATAAGTCCATTTTTCCCCAAAATAAATACTGTCCCAACCTGCCTATAATTTCCTGGATTACCCCTGTTGCCCTTCTTAAACAACGGAAGAACATTCACTATTCTGAGTCCTCACCTGTGGCTAAACAGGATACAAAGATCTCTGTCAAGGCCCCAGCAATTTCCTTCCTTACCTCCCTCAGTACCCTGGGATAGATCCCATCCTGCCCTGGGGACTTAACTACCTTGATATTTTTCAGGACATCCAACACCACCACCTCAATATCCGTTATGTCCTAGAATATCAACATATCCCTCCCTAATCTTACGATCATCCATGTCCTTCTCCTCGGTGAGTATCAATGCAAAATACTCATTAAGGACCTCACCAATTCCTCTGGCTCAATGCACAATTTCCCTATCTTTGAATGGGACAATTCTTTTCCCTCACCACCCTCTTGGTCCTAATATACATATAAAATACCTTGGGATTCTCCTTAATCCTATTTGTCAAGGACATCCCATGGCCCCTTTTAGCATTCGTCGTTTAAGTTCTTGAAATTCTTTGCGGGCCTTGTCTAATTTCAGTTGCATAAACCTTATTTATGCTTCCTGCTTCTTTTAGACTTTGCCACACTACATTGATTAAAAAGAATTTACATTCATATAGCATCTGGTCATCTGGATCAGCACCATCTAGAGCATCTCACATTCAATTTGTTCATTTTTGAAATGTAGGCACTGTAATTAGGGGGAGCGATGGCCTCGTGGTGTTATCACTGGACTGTTAACCCAGAGACCTAGATAACATTCTGGGGACCCTAGGTTCAAATCCCACCAAGGCAGATGGTGGAATTTGAATTCAATAAAATATCTGGAATTAAGAATCTAATGAACCCATCTGGTTCACTAATGCCCTTTAGGGAAGCAAATCTGCTATCCTTTTCTGGTCTAGCCTACATGTGACTCCATACCCACAGCAATGAGGTTGACTCAACTGCCCTCTGGGCAATAAGGGATGGGCAATAAATGCTGCCTAGCCAATGACAGCATCATTCCGTTAATGAATTAAAAAAAACCTTGGTAAAAATGGCATACAATTTGCCCAATGCAATATCCAACAACTGCAAGTGAGGTGATTGAGCAGAATCTATTACTGACAATGATATTTACAGCAGAAACAATGATAATGACAGCAAGAGTTCAGCCTTCACATCAAATTGTACAAAATATTTGATGTCCCCTGAACAGCTGATCAGACGGAGTGGCTTTAACAGCTTATGCAATTAATATCACTTCTGAAAATGTAGCACTTATTCAGTACTGCATTTGAGTGTCAGCCTAGTCTGATTCAGCTTTACACGGTGGGGATTTTAGACCAACAACTGCCTATCTCACATTAGGTACTGGCTGAGAGAAGTGAGCCAAAACATCAACATTAAAGTTGAATAGGTAAAAATTAGGTTGCACACAATCAATAAAGTAGAATGTATTAATAAATGTTGACTGTAAACAGTTTTTTCCCCCTATTCATTTGTGGGATGTGGGCATCGCTGGCTGGCCGGCCAACATTTCTTGCCCATCTCTAGTTGCCCTTGAGAAGGTGGTGGTGAGCTGCCTTTTTGAACCGCTGCAGTCCTCCTGCTGTGGGTTGACTCACAATACCATTACGGAGGGAATTCCAGGATTTTGACCCAGCGACAGTGAAACAATGGTAATATATTTCCAAGTCAGGATGGTGCGTGGCTTGGAGGGGAACTTGCAGGTTGTGATGTTCCCAGATGTCTGCTGCCCTTGTCCTTCTAGATTGAAGTGGTTGTGGGTTTGGAAGGTGCTGTCTGAGGAGCTGTGGTGAATTTCTGCAGTGCATCTTGTAGATAGTACACACTGTTGGTACTGATCATCGGTGGTGGAGGGAGTGGATGCTTGTGGATGTAATGCCAATCAAGCGGGCTGCTTTGTCCTGGATGGTGTCAAGCTTCTTGAGTGCTTTTGGGGCTGCTCTCTTCCAGGCAAGTGGGGAGTACTCCATCACGCTCCTGACTTGAGACTTGTAGATGATGTACAGCCTTTGAGGAGTTAGGAGGGGAGTTACTCGCTGCACTATTCCTAGCGTCTGACCTGCTCTTGTAGCCAGTGTTTATATGGTAAGTCCAGTTGACTTTCTGATCAATGATAACCCTGAGGATGTTGATAGTGGGGGAATTCAGTGATGGTAACACCATTGAATGTCAAGGGGTGGTGGTTAGATTGTCTCTTATTGGTGATGGTCATAGCCTGGCATTTGTGTGGTGCAAATATTATTTGCCACTTGTCAGTCCAAGCCTGGATATTGTCCAGATCTTGTTGCATTTGAACACGGACTGCTTCAGTATCTGAGGAGTCACGAATGGTGCTGAACATTGTACAATAGTCGGCGAACATCCCCACT